GATGATTCAGTATTTTGTAGTAGGTTTTATGTGGATTTACCTTCACATATATTTCGCGTTGCTTTACCTAAGTAAAGTGTTTCACTTCAATAAACACACACTTTTCAACTTACCTACCTTGTGTTGCAGCTACTAAAAGAACAAAAAAGAAGTAAAGTCACAGAATAATTTTATAACTGTATAAGCAGTGAATAGCAGAGTTATACAGTTTAACAGAAAGATGTAGCCTTTTTACTTTCGTCAATAGTTCGACTTTTGTAACAGATAGCGACTTGAATGTTCATTAGAAAAAGTGAAGGCTCGTAAACTCTAATGTATGGAAATGCATTCTCATGTTTCATCTAAAATTATTGGAGTTAAGAGGCAAGAAGTGCTTTTACGAAACTTGAAAAAACTCTTCTTGGATGTTTCAATTTTATTAAACAGGAAACCTTTTTGAAAAAATTTTAACGCACATCAGTCGATAGATAATTTTACGAGACATCGATTGGGAATTAAATTTGGATTATAAATTTGTTTTCGTACTCGAAATACATTTTATAAATTTGAAAAAGTCCAGAAAAACTGAATTTTTTTTCACAACCAAAACATCGACCAAACATATTAAATAGAAAACGGTTAAAACGTAAAAAATAATCTAGATAATACGCTCTTTTTACTGCACTCCTTTACAATGCCAAGAAACTAAAGTAACTAAACTTTTGGCCAACACTGTTCACATCTGCACAAGTAGCTGCGTCTGCGTTCTAACAAGAGATACGTCTTTAAGTAAAAAGTGTCGATTACGTTTTTTTTATAGTGTCCGAAATGTTTAGTTGAAAAAGGTAATAGTTACAAATCACTGTAATATGTAGGCACAACAAATGTTTTCTATGTCTCAGTCAAAAGGTTGTAGAGGGGGCGAGACGACTTTCTACGCTGCCTATATTACGATTCGTACCTTACTGTAATTTTTAAGTGAGTTTGCTTTGCTTTTCCAATTAACTATGAAATTTAATTGGAAATAATAATACTTTGCAATATGTTCATCTTTGTCATTTTGAGTTGTTGTTGATTACAGAAGCAATTAATTATGAATCTAAAATTAACTCTAACATTTTGCTTAATTTCTTTTGGATTTCGTTAATGAACAACAATATCTTTTTACGTTAATATACAGAAAAACTATCCGTTAATAAACTGGTGATGAGTCTTGATTCTGGATAGTTTCATGATCTGCTTCTCCTTATCTAGATTGGTGATAGCTTTAGAGAGCATTATTTTTGTTCTTATATAGAAAAATATAACAAGTTAGAAATACAATACAAGTAAGAAATTTTCTGCCTGAGAATACTGCGACGAGTAGACAGACCGTGGTTGAAGAGCGAAGTGTTTCGCGTTTTCTAAATTGTAGCTATAGTGAAGTAAAATTGAAGAAACATTAGATTCGGATAGCTGCTTGAAACAATCTCATATGATTTATCTTTGCTTAGAGATGTCAAGTTAAGCCAACTTATGTTGTAGTCTGTGATTTCTTTCATAGTTGGCCTTGCTGTGACCCGTGTAACACTGAGATGTAGCCTATATTACACTCATTCTCGAAGCACAATAATTACTCTCGCTTTTGCCTCTCAATTGGACTGCTGCGAGCTCCTTCTGAGTTCGAATTTTAATTTTCATGTCTCAAATATACCTTTCGACCAAAAAATTCGAGTGACATTAATAAATAACCAAAGAAAAAGCTCCTAAATACATCTTTATTTTTGGAAATAGACCTTTAATTCATTTTGCTTACTGATTCTAGATATAATCTACTATGATGGAACAAGAAAATCAAACTTTTCTCGTTCAAACGACTACACCTATTGTTATCAATCAATGGCCACATCTTAGTACACTTCACATTGTTCTCATTTGTTTAATCAATATTGGCTCATTTTTCCTGGCCTGGCTGGTTCTACGAGTAATTTGGAAACCGTCAAAGACTAGTTCAAGCGAGACTACGGAAACTGTAGAAGATCAAGAAAAGCAGCCATTAACAGCAGTCTCAACAGAAGCAGCAGTAACAGTATCAGATTTAGAGAAAAGTGAAGAAGCTCCGGTGAAGGAGATTAATGGGAAGCGAGATATTTGTGAAGGAGATGTCAACGGAGATTACAGTAAGAATTGGATTTATACTTTTGACATGGTACTTTTAATTGGCATGTTCATCTCTCTTATTGTGCTAATTGTCATTACTTTATCTACTACACGTGAATTATTTGGAAAGTGGGAGTTTTGGCTCGAACAGTTTCTGACTATCGTCATTTTATTTATACTACTATTTATCGGAGGCCTAATATGTCGTCGCTTTTGTCAGACAGACGAACATGGCTACATAATTACAAACCGACACAGTCGTTTCAAAGTGAATTATACGAAAAAATTGCACCATTTTGGACATCATGTAGCTCCTTTAGTTATGGGATCGATTAAACGTCACTTTTCAAAAGAATATACATATAAAACTATCAAAGGCACACTTTTATTAGCCCTCAACGAAAAAGTGAAGCCTGCATTTTCACTCAACCTCATATGGCGCTACTTCTCAGCGGCTTTCGTTATGGTTCTTTTAATTAAACCTTTACGTGAACGTATCGTGCCGTTTATGATTGCGTTCAATGCTATGGATCGTCCGGAAGATCGTCCCAACACATTGCTATGGACAGTGGCTTACAACAACATTCCTGGACCAGCTATTACGATCTTCTTTCGATGGCTTTACATTTCTAAGGGAAACAGTCGTGACTTGGCCTACATTTTCACTATGGTAAATGTCGTTGGTGACGGATTAGCTGAACCGATTGGTATCTACTTTGGTAAACACCGGTATAAAACACGAGGATGTTTCAATGAAACGGCCTATCGTCGATCATTCGAAGGATCTTCCTGTGTACTTTTATCTACCGTAGTCTTCGTTTCCTGTTTCTATTACACTTTCAAAAGTGCTCTACAATTTTACATTACAATATTTCTACTTCCGCCAATAATGGCTTTGACTGAGGCTACAAGTCCTCATACTTGTGACAGTGCCTTTATACATTTTGTTGGCGGTTTGTTTTTATTTTTTGTTGTCACACTTTTGCCATAAAGCAGAGTTACTCTTTTTTATAACAAATAATAAAGAAAATAATACCGAATAAAACATTTTATTAATTTATTTTCGAGACGTTTCATCAACTACTGTTGACTTCGTCAGTCAAAATAAAATGAAGTTACATGAAAATGAACACAATTACATATATACGATCAGGAAAATGTTACAGTTAGACTGAACAACAAAAGAAAACAAGTTAATAAGATAATAAAACGTTTTATTATCTTACTAACTTGTGGGTGTACGTAAATCAATTGGAAAACAGATCGACTTATATTTCTATAATACAAATCAATCTGCTAGTCTCAACTTTTGCTCTTCAGCAATCGATTTCCTGCCGAAAATCAAATTAAAATTGAATAAATATAAATATGCTTGAATGAAAATTAATTTAAAAGAAATGCAGATTATTTTCGCCGACGCGTTTCGTGTTATTTATCAGAATATTGAAACACTCGTCAGGGCTCTGCATTACAATTAAAACAAAATATAAAACAAATTAAGAAACAAAGCATAAACTGAAATTTAAACAAGCAAAAATAAAAAACAAAAAAAAAATACAAAAATTATTTTGAACAAAAGGCAAATAGGGGCTTGAATATATTTTTATCTTTAAAAACACTGTTCAATTGTTCAGCAAACATTAATATCGAGTATACTAATATCACTTATTTGTCTCTGAAGATGTCGTTCAATCGAAAGAATAATTGATTGATCAATAAATTTTGCTTGATGAAATTAGTTGGTAACCACTTCAAGACTATTATAATAATTCTTATATCAATTTACTTAATTATCGCACGTTCTAATTGAATTAAGCCGCAGAGACCAAATTAATTCAAATCAAAAACGGGACAAATAATAACTTCTTGAATTAATATTGCATGTCTTGGTAAATTGTCCAGTATACTAATATTACTTATTTGTCTTTCAAGATACCGTTCAATAAGTACATATCTTTGAACTTTTTTTATATTTTGGCGATATTTGTCATAATTATTAAAAGTTAGTGATTGATCATTATACTAATACAATAACATAAAACAAATTAGTAATATATTGAATAACTCGACGCTTAGTTGGCGGGTAATTTCTAGTAGCTTCATAGCATAATAAACAAATTTAACTATATCCTAAATATAAATAAATTCAATAATTAATTCACGTTCTTTATTGATTGATTCGTTTAAATATTTCAATTCATTTTCTAAAATCTTCTGTTAATTGAATCCTATGGTTCATTTTAATATTACCATCTTGAAAGTTTATCTTGCTCTTCGATAAACTATTAAGAACTTGAGAGTAATAATTTAGGTTGAATTTGTATTTCATCTTGTATTTCTTCAACTGTTCATTTTAATATCTTGTTAAATAATAATAATAATATCCACCATATAGTTTATCTTGTATAGGTCAATTGTCTTTGTAAATTTTTAACATTACGTGTGCCAAGAATAGGTAAGACTTCATTAATCGGAGATTCACCAAAATATTCATCCCAAAGGGCATGAAATGTTTTTGGAAATGTTCTCATACTTGAATAATAAGTAAAATGAACAAACATTATCTTACCGTAATTCACTGGTATTTTTTCTTTAATAGGTATTTCTATAATTTTTTGACGGATGAAATTATAATTATTAAATTCTAATGGCTGATCAATATTAAATTTTGATAAAACATGATTAAATTGTTCATCAATAATTCTATTTGGATATTTATTTAATAATAATGCCATTCGTAATTTTTCACGTTCATTCAAATAAGCTTGAAAAGTTGAACAGTATCTAATAGTACGAAGAAACATAGTAAAAATTATATTCTTCTTCATATGTAATGGATGCACACTGTTGAACGGCAAGTAATATGGTTCATAACACGGCTTTTGATAAACCGTCGTAAATAACTGACCATCTCGATTTTCCATATGTAAATCAAGAAAATCAGCAGTTGAACCAATCTTTTCTGATAATTTAATATTTACATCAAAGTGATTCCATCTCTCGATTTGTTTAAATAAATGTCGAGCAGGCCAATTAATTACTATAAATATATCATCAATATATCTAAAATATAGTGCACCGCTATTATTAATTTGTTTTATAATTTGTTCATAAACGAACATATAACAGTTAGCAACAGTTAATGTAAGGGGAGAACTCATTGCTCCTCCCAGAATTTGATGATAAAATTGGCCATTATAAGAAAAATAATTATTTTTCATAACAAATCGACTTAATCTAATTATTGTTTCAATTTTGAGACTGTCAACTTGCTTTAATTTTAAATAATCTAACATTTTCTTTAATTAAAGTACTCCTTCAGTTTGTGGCACCATTGTATAAAGGTCTGCGACATCAATTGTACAAAATAAAGTTTCTTGACACATATTATTTTTCGACCATTCTTGTAACTGTTTAACTAGTTCAAAACCAGAAGTTACAGTTGTCTTTGAAGCCATTTTATCAAATAAAGGTCGAAGTAATTCGTCAAGAAATTTTGATATTTTAATTATAGAATGTTTAAGATCAGATATAATTGGACGAAGAGGGGTACCAGGCTTATGTGCTTTAGGTAAATAATATAAATGAGCAAGTTCAACTTCATTTGAATTAATACATCATTTTTCATATTGTTTTTGAGTAATCCACTTGGCTAGTCATAAATCTAATAAATATTTATTAGTACGACGAATTAGATCAGGTAATGGATCTTCGGTATCTAAACATTTGTAGGCTTTTGTTTTATCCATATATTCTTCTGATTTTTTGCGATAATCGTCAAGTTTTCCTAAGTGGAATACTTTGTTTTTATCAGATTTTTGAAGGACAATATTCTTCAAGTGAAGCTTATATTTCAAACGTTTAATTAATCGTCTATAATCTTTCTTCTTTTTAGTAATAATACAAGAATTTATATCTTGGGATTGGCTTGGTTCTATAATAGAAACTAAATTATCATATGTAATATTTTGTGTATTATTTTGATTTGATATATTTCTTAATTTTCGATGATTTGCAGGGGTATCATATAATTTCTGAAACAAAATATCTAATTCGGCAATAAATTGTTCGACTGGGCGCCCGAGGCTAACTTTCTTTTCAAAGAAACGAGCTTCAATTTTTCCTTTGAGAGTAGCCAACTCAGTAATACGTCGTCGAGATGCCGTTTTTGGATCATTATATATAAACCGAGGACCTAATTTTAGTAGTTCATGTTTTTCCTCGGTTAATTGAATTTGTGCTTCATTAATTATGGCTGGAGCAAGAATTCCTCGCTCAGCGATCGAATAAAAGTCGGGACAATTAATTTTTCTTGTTGTTTGTTTGTCTCGCCCTCGACTCGTTTTTCGGCTAAAAAATAAATTAATTGTTCAGCTTCTAAGTTGAGCCGTTTTGTTCGTAAATTATGATAATGTTTAAATGCACCAAAACCAGGTTCAGCCTCAAAGCCTTCACCATTATCTTGTGGAAATCCATTTGTAATATGTTCGATTTCTTTTGATAATACTTTATGTTCACGAGTTAATGATTGTACATATAATGCATTGCTTGTGTGCGAAATTCTTTAGTAATTTGACGCATTTGATTATATGTAGCTTGTACTTTATCTTGACTTATAATTGATTCATCAATTTTAAGAGATAAATCAACTTTCTCAATAAATTTTGGAAGTAAATCATATTCTACTCGTTTTGTTGCTGCAAGTAAATTTTTATATTTTGTTGACCAAAGTTTTATTTTTGGTTTTAATATTAAATGAATATTCCATTGAGTTGAAGTAGCTATCTGCTCAAATTCTTCTAAAGCTTTGAATTCTTCCATTTAAGCTTTAGCTAATTGTATACGAGTCTCAGCCATTTTTCTGACATGTTGAGTACAATGTTGTAAATATTTTAATATCAATTTTTCAAGTTCTTCAACTTTATTTCGAATTTTATCTAAAGTTATTGGTATAGCAGTCAATTTTGATGTTGTTGCTGCTGTTGTTGAGTCCATTGTTAGGGCTGTATTGGTTTTGGCTATATCAATTTGGACTATATTGGTTTGAGCTGTATTAGTTTAGGCTATATTGCCAGCTGTTGGTTTTACTTTTTTATATCCCGGCATTTGTGACCAGTACATACGTAATTGAATTTTTAAACCAGAAATGGTTGCATTTGCTTGAGCTACTACAACTGATAATTGATTAATTTTCTTTATAACAAATTGATTATTTACTATGCCATCACGTTTTTTTGTTCGTTGAATGACTTCTTTTGCCCATTGTTTATTTTCAGTACCCATTTTTAAATAATTTTGCCATACTTGTAAATCATAATTAGCTCGAATCCACTCATCATAAATAGGAATCGAAGCCATTAAATAAGCATGATTGCCACTAGTTTCAACAGTTTCTTTTGATATTGATTCATTTTGTAGCCATGTCGTTATTCTATTATATGCAAAATATGCCCGATAATTTTTATTCTTTTTGTTTTTCTTATTATTTCTTATAACTGGTAATGGTTCATTCTCATCGATATTTGACATAACATCAACTTCATCATGATTATTTTCGGCCAATATAGCAAATCGATTATTATTATTATTATTTATTTCATTTTGGCGATATTGCTTTTGTCGAACCCGCCGTTGTCGGCGTCTAAATGATGCTGTTGTTGTTTGTCTCCATTGATTGGACCCATTATTTTGTGGCTGTTGTTGTTGTTGTTGATTTGTATTACCTTGATTATTAACAAAAAATGGTTGTGTTGTATTTCTAGCAAAAATTGCTCGTTGTGGTAATACATCAACAGGAATATTATTTGTAGTCGTAGCTGCAGCTAAATTGAATTCAGCAGGAAGATTTGGTGAAGGATCACGTAATTGTGGTGGCATAAAATCATTTAATCGTAATGGCCTTGGATCACGTCTACGTTGTTGTATTGATCGGCTTCGCCGTTGATTAGAACGACTCCTTTGTCGATTTTGACTTGATCTTCTTCACATTCTTCGATAAAATCTTCCTTGTGGAACTATTGGTTGATTAATAATACCATACCCTAGTGAAAATACTCGTCCAGCGAGTACGACTTTCCAGCATGAGTACTGATATGGTTATTACTCGTTTAAGTTTACTCGTAAACAATAATATGAGTACTCAATATAGTACTCTGGTATTTTTCCGTGGAAAACTCAATGAAACAGTTATGCATTTTCAAAAATGGAGGATAAATATAAGTGAATAAAAAAGTGTACAGTGTAGTTGGACTTGAAAAAATTCTTGATTACTTCCTTCTTCTTCAATATTTTCACATAACAAGACAGTTTTATCACTTCTATGAGGAGAAAGAGAACATATATGATTGGATGTTTCCATGTGCTTATTTGTTTTTCAAATAAATGTTTGTCTTCTACATTCAAAATTCAAGTTTTTTCTGTGTTTATTTTTTTCTGGAAAATTCGCTTTATGTCGTTAGATTAATTATTGCTGTTCACTAATCGAAATAAAATCGAATCCAATACATCCCGTATTCATTTTTACCGAAGATCAACAATAGTATTATACAGTGAGGCAGATTATTATGATGAAATTCTTTGTTGTTTATTTTCTGTGTATTATAGATGTTGATTGCTCCAAGAAAGTTAGCTATTATTGTCGTGGTTGCTTGTATCCTCTGGCCTCACCTCAGCAGTCAGCATGTACTAATGAGTGCTCTATGAATAACCAACGTCGTTCATTTAAAAATATTAGTGAATTAGTTGTATGTGATGTTAAAAAAGAGATTTTATCAACAGCTACACGATATGTTAATTTAATTAGAGAATATCAAAATGCATCAAAACTTTTTTTACCTGGTGATGTATTGAATGGACAGGCCAGTAACTTTTTTCTCTGCCAACTCAGAATATTTACTATGATAAATTTCAAATAATGTATAAATAAAGACTTGATACATCTTTGGTTTCAAACGGATTAGTTTAGATCAAAAATTTTGACTCATTTTATAATGAAACAAAATCTATGTGAAGTAGATAAATTTTAATTATAGGAAATCCTTTTTCTTGTTGATTCATTTTGAACAATATAGAAGAACTAGATATGTTATCGGCCACTATGAAACATGAGTTATTTTTCACACCAATACAGAAGAGTCAGACAATATGAGCCCAGTGATTTATTTTCACTTCTTCATCTTCAATCCTGTTGAACATTTAATAAAATGTAGTAATTTTTGGGACTCACAATCTTTGTGATTTGGATCTGAATGCTTAGTGAGGTTTAAGATAAGTTAAGTACTGAAAAACAATTCTAGAAAGCAGTTTGTAATGTACATACGATGCTATAGTAGAGTAAGTCGTATATTCATAAAGGATAAAGGGCATCATTGATGCTTTTTCGTCGAAATATAAGATGAATAAGCGTGAGATTTAATCTGTGGTAAATGTAAAGAAGTGTAAACTTTGATCAGTTTTTTGAAAAACTTTCCTGCCTTCCATTGGATTTAGAAAGGCATTAGATTTCAGAAAACAATATATTTTATTTTGATAATGAAGGAGTGAAGTTAAATTAAATTATCTTTAACAGGTTTATGAAAATTTACCATCAAATAAATCGAACAAGATTACATTGATGCTACATACAGATGGGGCACCGATCACCAAAGTTGGTGGAAAATCATTATGGCCTGTTCAATGTACGTTGGTAGAAATTCCTCCACCTATAAGGGATCACATGGATGCCATAATGATTTTCGGTGCCTGGCTAGGTGGTACCCATCCAAATAGGGACTTATTATGGTCTAGAATTGTCGAACAAATTCATGATTTTATTCAGAACGGAATTACAATTACTACTGACACTGGCGAAAAACTTAAGTTCATGATTCGTGCACAATCAGTTACATTTGACTTGCCTGCTCTTGCACAGAATTGCAATATTATTCAATTTAATGGCTATGATGCCTGTCCTGATTGTGATATTCATGGTATCGCTATTGAACGCTAAGTTTTTTATCCTTACTCTAAAACACCAGCAGCATCCAAAACTGATCATGACTATACAACTTTGTCAATTCGAAACACAAGTGCAACTGCGTCGAAAGGAATCAAGGGACCAACACCATTAACACGCGTATTCATTTTTCCTGATCAGATAGCTAAAGATTATATGCAGCTTGTATGCTCCGGTCATTTTAAGACATTAATAACATATTGGGAGAGAATTTTATTACCTGGCGTCTTTGATCAAAGTTCAAATTATCTTCTATCCATCGTACTGCCTCATTCTTTTAAATATCAATTTATTCCTCTTATACAATATTCTCATTGGAAAACAAAAATGTTTAGGTTAGAACAGTTAATTTAAAATAGTTAGATGCAGTACTTTAAGTTTACTTTAACATTATAGTCAAAATAGTATATTTTAATTTTAACTAGTTTGGTAGGCATATTTTAGAAATTAATATGTCATACCTAAAATTAATTTTAGAATTGAATAATATTATTTATTAATTCATTACCATTATCAGTAAAAATAATTGTCATCTGAATGCCAAATAACATCGATGAATTTTGTTTTAACCTTAATGCTAATGCTAAAGAGCTACCTTTTTATTCGAATTCCATATCGGAGTAAATCAACCAGTGGTAGGTACCTCGATAAAAGCTTTAAAAAAACAACTACAGAAGGATAAAATGAGTAAAACATGTAATGTGGGCCTCTTTACATTTTTATATCTTCTGCTTATTTCTTAACTTTCTTTTAGAGATTTATTATTATACATATCACCGATTTTCGTGTCTTTATTTCTACCTGATTCTCTTGCATTACATTTTTTACATTACTTTGTATATGTACGTACTTTATATTATTACGAAAATATTACAGAATTAAATGAAATTGACAATATTTTTAATTATTACTATGAACATATCACAGATTATTATGGAGAAAAATCACAACTATGCACACTTCACTTACATTCACATTTGAAAGATCAAGTACTTAAACATGGTGCATTAGTATTTACGTCATGCTTCGCTCGTGAGTCATATCTTGGTCATTCGTTAAAGTGGTGTTTAGGAAAGAAATATATATTAGAACAATTTATTACTTGGTACAACGTCAATCGTACTTTGGCTTCATCGAGTTCACTTAACCTTGATGACATCTTTAATATTGAAAAATTCGATAAAACTTATATGGACAAAAGCTGTATTCAAAATTATCAACAAAAATTAATAATATGCTCTGACAAAAAAAATGTTGATTTAACAAAACCAATATTTTATTCGCGTTATAGTCGTGGATTGAAAATGTTTCACTCACGAGCCTATACAAGAAGTGGTAACTCAATCAGTTATTTGGTGTCAGTATTAACCGAAACATGTCCAATGAATCAAAAAACATGTCTCGGTGAAGTTTTATTTTATTTTAATGTTTCTGGTTATTATTATGTATTTATCGAAAAGTATAGATGCATGAACTCTAGTATTTCAAATACATTGTCTACAGTATCAATGCCTGCAGTTATTACTGATAGATTAAACTATTATTACGGCTTTTACAATCGTAAACAATATTCTTACAAAATTATTCCTGTATGTCATATATTAAATAAAACTATCAATATGAGATGGATTAATGGCATGTTCGTTTATACTGATGTTGTTTGCGAGTGGGAACATGACTAATTAATCATAGAACTTGTTCAGTTTTGTATTATTGATTGTATTTCTTAGGTTTTTCAAAAAAGAAACAAACCAAGAAAATGCGACTCATCTTTAGCAGCTTGTTTCATCAATTATAAACTATTTTTCGCTCATGATACCTCTTATATTTTCTATTTTATTTAGATATGAATACATCTTCAACAAGTCATAATCGTGTGCGTAGATCAACAGCTGGGATCAACAAACGTTATGATGAACAAGATTATGTACTAGTTTCTTTTCCACAACTGAACAAACATAGTGTTGTTCCAGCTGCTGGTATTAATGTTGATCCTCTTGATGAACAAACTGGTAGTATTAAAACATTTGGATCAAGAAAAAATTTGCGAATCATTAGTAGTGGTAATTTTTTTTATCAGATATTCATTCTGGAAATTCACAATCCTTGTTTTATATCTTAAGATTCTAAAGAAATGATGAAAGAACGTGCATCACGCTACGCTACCTCGGCTGGTAGTGAAGAAGTTGGACTTGTTCCTGATGAACAATCACAAATGGAAATGATTTCATCAAATGTTAATGACCAAACAACAACATTCAACTATGAGTGTGCTGAAAGCACATCTTTGGCAAAAAGTATGTAATATCGTCTTGTTTCTTAATTTAAACGACTTTCTGATTTGTGCATTTATTTCACTACATTCAATCAGAGATTCCACCAAGTGATCATCAATTAAATTTTAATCGTGTTTATTCATCAAAAACAGGAACGAAAAGGACGTATGTAGATAATCACGATGAAAGTTCATTGAGCGGCAGTGATCTATCGGATGGTGAATGTAGTGAGTCGTTTCTTTTGTGCACTCAATCACACTTAAGTTTTTTGTTGATCCATGAGAAAATAATTTGTTTGTTATGAAAAAAAGCAATGAAATACAATCATTATTGAAAAAGCCTCGTCATAAAAGAAAAAACAGGCCGGTGAACCAGTCAGCAATGGTAGCTAAATATCTCTGTATTATAATTATGTTTTGACCTATAGCTATTTTAATTCAGCTGAAGAATCATGTAGTGGTTGCAAAAAACCTGAAGAACAAATTGCACAATTACGTAAAAGACTTGATCGGATGGAAAAAGTGATACCAGTGATAAAGAAATGTCGATCGAAAACACCTATTGTGAGTAAAATTGAATAGAAATATCCATCTCAGTTAGAAATTATTTGTTGTGTATATTAGACGTTAACAGATCAATCAAATCCAACTGAAAACGTTAATGATGTTTATCTATATATTAAAGTAAGTTTTTTTTACATGCTTGTTTATCCAATATTTATTTGTATTGTTAGGAAGTTACTGGAGTAAATCCTAATCAAATTAAAGGTACACCAACACGCCCGACAATCATAATGAGACAATTAATCAAGCAATCTGGTCATATTAACGATAAATCGTTTTTGAAAGAACATGAAAATTTATTTAAAGGTCAGTGTTTGTCTGTGTGCTTGCTTCGATAAATTTTATTAGAAAGGACGAGGGCGCATAAGAAGGCAAATCGGCCCATAGGACTTTTCTCGGCCAATCCCCATTGAATCATATATCAATTGAAAGAATATATTGAAATTAACATTTTGACACTATTTTCATAGGATTTTGATCGAATTTTCGAAGCAAAAGGCTATTAATAAAGTAACCCATTTTTGGTCATAAATTTAACAATCGACCCTACCATAGTCGACTCAGTTTTAGAGTAAATTGATTAGAAAAAATAGTTGTAAAATTAAGCACTTGATAGCTTTTTTATAGGGCTTCAATCCTATATATGAATTAACAGTTGGTTGTTTGGTTTAGTGAAGAGGAGAACTGATATACTGGTTGGCACTGTTGATATAAGTCCTATATTTACTATCAACTTTTATCTTTCAAAAACTATTTTGTCGTAAAAATTGAAACGGCCAAAATTCTGATCTTGCTTATTGAATAGCTCTTTTCAAAAGCTACAAAAATGTATATTTTCTAAAGTCTAAAAAATATGGCCACTAGGAAAATTTTTAGTCACCTTGTGCTCGGGATATGGTTTTTTCATGTTTTTGCCTATTTTTGACTAGTAATGAGCCTTTTTTCTCAATAAAATCCTAGTCTAAATCAAACCTAATATCAGATTCGGAGTCAGCATTAAAAACTGAGTTGATTTATGTATGTCTCCAATATCTCCAAGTACTTTCATTTTTCTCGAAAAACTCACCTCTACTCCCCCTCAGGGTACCCCAGAAAAAAACGAGGAAAAATGAAAGTACTTGGAGATATTGGAGACATGCATAAATCAACTCAGTTTTTAATGCTGACTTCGAATCTGATATTAGGTTTGATTTAGACTAGGATTTTATTGAGAAAAAAGGCTCATTACTAGTCAAAAATAGGCAAAAACATGAAAAAACCATATCCCGAGCACAAGGTGACTAAAAATTTTCCTAGTGACCATATTTTTTAGACTTTAGAAAATATACATTTTTGTAGCTTTTGAAAAGAGCTATTCAATAAGCAAGATCAGAATTTTGGCCGTTTCAATTTTTACGACAAAATAGTTTTTGAAAGATAAAAGTTGATAGTAAATATAGGACTTATATCAACAGTGCCAACCAGTATATCAGTTCTCCTCTTCACTAAACCAAACAACCAACTGTTAATTCATATATAGGATTGAAGCCCTATAAAAAAGCTATCAAGTGCTTAATTTTACAACTATTTTTTCTAATCAATTTACTCTAAAACTGAGTCGACTATGGTAGGGTCGATTGTTAAATTTATGACCAAAAATGGGTTACTTTATTAATAGCCTTTTGCTTCGAAAATTCGATCAAAATCCTATGAAAATAGTGTCAAAATGTTAATTTCAATATATTCTTTCAATTGATATATGATTCAATGGGGATTGGCCGAGAAAAGTCCTATGGGCCGATTTGCCTTCTTATGCGCCCCCGTCCTTTAATTTGATGAAATAATTGTTGGTTGATCAATTGAAATAGAAGAATTAATAGAATATGCTCAATCCAAAGAAAATTGAAAAGATTTTTTTCTTAAATATACTTCTAATATTTGAATAAAATTTCTTAATTCTTCAATACGTTTTTATTGTTGATTTATAATTGAATTTATTTGTTTTTGTTTTCCTTGAATAAAATCCGAAGTTTCTTCAAAAAAAAAGTGGAAACCTCGGATTGAAATCCTAGTATTATGTGTACTTCAAAAAGTAAAAACACAGAAGCAATTTACGTTTAACTATCTTTGCAATAGGTGACTTAGCCTTCTTGTTTCTTAGTGTTTTATATACCATTTTCTAGCCCTTGAAATTCTCTATCGAATGATATATTATAGCTGAGCTTTTGTTTGATTATGAGAGAAAAAGTTTTGTTTACGAAAACCGGTATAGGTCAATGTTCGCATAGAAAAGAATAGGAAATAATGACATTTTTTCCGATAACTCAGCAATTTCTTGACGAATCATTCTCATCTTCGAACTCGACACAGATATTGATGAGACGATTCTGTGTGCAAAATTTCATCACAATCGGACTAACCTTTCAAGAGTTATCGTGTAAATGGACGGACGGACACACTGACCGATTTTATAGTGTATGAACTTTTTGAGTACACAAAAAGTCCATGAAAAATATCATTTGATGTTATTCTATTTATATATATAGGAATATTCTATAGAATATTAAAATGAGATAATATTTGTTGAAGTTGAACTACTTATAAAGAATCAGATGATATATGAGGGATCATTTTTATTTGTTTCTATATAAAACATAATTGATTATTATTATTTAAATAAAAAAATTCAATAGAAAGTTGAAGATATCGAATTTCGAAAACTTTTTCTGTTTATTACAAATATTTTTATAGTCCATGTAGCTTTCGGCATTATAGCCTTATATCCCTTGCAGGTCTTGCAGCCTTATCCCCTTATTACTTAGAGACTTTTTACCTTCTCCTTTATTACCTAATACTCTTATTACCACATCTTCTTATTGCCTCACTCTCTTTCAAACCTATGGGCATCCTCACTAGATAGCGCTTGAGGAGCCGTGGGTACCCCACAGGATAGCTCTTGTGGATCTATAGGTATCCCATAGGATAGCCCTTGCAAACCTATGGGTACTCTCATAGGATAGCCCTTGTGAATCTATGGGCACCCCATAAAATAGCCTTTGAGGACCCATGGGTACTCCCACTGGATAGCTCTTCAGGAGCCATGGGTATTCCCGCAGGGTGGCTCATGTGGACCTATGGGTACTCTCATAGGATAGCCCTTGAGGACCCATGGGTACCTCACCGGATAGCTCTTGTGAACCTATGTGTACCCTAATAAGATAGCCTTTGAGGACCTATGGATGCCCACAGGATAGCTTTTGTGGACATATGGGTACCCTCACTGGATAGCCCTAGAGGACCTATGGTCCCCATATAATGCCTTAGGAATCAGCCCTCTTATAGTCTTATTTGATCTTTAACCTTTGACCTGGCACAGACAGACACACACCTAACATTATATTTATAGATGTTTTTATATTTTTTCTCTTGTTTTCATGCATTTTTAGTTTTTTTTGAGGATTTTCTTTGTATTAAGAGATGTTTCTAGAGAAAAGTTATTCAGGGATAGCACTTATTCGTGTCAGAATGTAGATTATTGAGTTCTGTGGGTGTTTGTCAAGACAACTTGGTGTGTTTATGTGAAGCATAAGAGGGATCCTGGGTGTTAGTAGATGTCTATAGACATATTTGAATCGGTCTTATATGTTTCCACAGGAAAGTTTGTCAAGGAAAGTATTTCGAGGATGGCACTTATTCGTGTCCGAATGTAGCTTATGGAGTTCTGTGGGCGTTTGCCAAGGCACGTTGGGATGTTTGTGTGGACCATAAGAGAAATCCTGAGTGTTTGTGTTGAGAGGGGTCATTTTTTGGTCCTTGTTGACGGTTTATTTTTTCCAGGACTCCTGCAAAGTGGGTGTTTGTCGGTGTTTGTGTGCATAACTCTCCAAGATATGGGTGTTTGTCAAGATGATTTATATGCGGTTTTACAAAGTTGGGTGTTTGTGCTGTTTTCGTAAATTAGTAATACCCGCTGACAATCGATTATGTTTGAGAAGAAAGTGTCCTCTTTAAGAGATTTTAGACTTTGCGTGATTTGTATTACTATAATGAAGCTAACGAAGACATGTAAGTTTCACGTTTCAGCCACAGCTGACTGGGTAATAAGCTTTATTTTTCCCCACTTATAGATTCAAATAAAAACGCTGCTGATTGTTTGTTCCTTTTGATATTATACATCGAGTGTTGGTATTTATCGCAATCGCTGCTCTTTCCTTCTGTTTGGCTACGATCGGGCCTCCGCTGATGTGTATCAAAGAATAGCATGGCACGTGAGACAATGGTACAAAACAGCTTATATCTTCGTTTTTCTTTCCTTCTGTTTGGTTACGATCGGGACTCCGCTGATGTGCACGAAAGAATAGCATAGCACGTGAGGTAATGGCAAAACACAGCTTATGTCTTCGTTTTTCTTTCTTTCTCTTTACATTACACGAGCCACGAGCTACGATTGTTGACGACGTTTTTTCATCGACTTGTTACTTCTCATTTTGTTTTTCTCTCGGCAGTCGTTATCTCTACACTGGTGAAATATTATCGTTTGAATTCATGGTGAAAAGTGATACACTTCTGGCTGCTTCGTCTTCGTAAATGAAAGTATTTTTTTTTGTTTATCTTTGCAAGCTCTACAGTGAAATCAACCTTTCAGTGTTGTTGAAATTTCAAAAACTTTCTCTAAAGTGGGGGACAAAAGTTTAAAGCACTTTTTTTGCGTTTCTCTCCATCAAAGACCGCTTTCAATGGACATCCAAATAATGATTTCGATAGCTCTCGGAGCGAGCTACAAATCTATGACATAGAAAACATCAATGGCTAACCGATTCATTTTTTACGACAGAAACTGTTTTTGTCCAGCGGAAAAAAACTTAAGACATTTTTTGTATTTTATCGATTTTGCCGTTATCGAAGAACAGAAAAAGTTTCAAAAATGTATCATTAGATCCAGAATTGAACGGGCTATATTTTGGTATAAATATTTTTGAAAAACTATTGGTTACAATAATTAAATATTAATTATTATTAATTAACAGTTATAGAAAAATCTTGTCATAATTTTCGGTTTTGAAGTACATTATAAGAAAGAGCATTGGAAATTGAACAAAACTGTAATCTTTAATTTACAATAGTGGGTGTGGGTACATGAATGACTGATAACCACACCCGCACCTACATCCCACACCCACACCCACACACCACACCCACACACCACACCCACACACACGCACCCCACACACACCCCACACCTACACCCACACCCACACCCACACCCACCCTCGATCAAGTCGAACAGAGAAAAGAAATTTTGAAAATATGAAGAGTGTAGTTGTTTGTGCGCCATTTGTATGATCGTTTAAATCAAAAGCAATTCTTGTGTTAGCTTAGTCGTCCTGCCGATTGCATAAGTATCTAGAAGAATATATGAACACTTTCTTCGTGTCACCTATAGAACGAAATTAACTATAGGCACATAGTAGCTGGAACATGTTTTTCTTCTATTTAGATAAAACTATAATCGGAATTGCATTAATCCACGAACATAAAGAACAATTAAGGAAACTTGTACTACCGTGTAAGTCGCGTCTACTCAAATATAAGAAATATTTCGTGTTTTAACCCAAGTGTAATGAATGAAAAACCGGAGTATCTGGCGCGAACGCGAAAAAAGCTTGAAGATGCAAAGAACGTGCAAGATAAATTCGAAATGAAGCTTTGTGATCAAGACTTTATTATATATCCAAATGTTTTCAACCCAAAGATATTCTTCGGTACAGAATTTCTAGGAAATGAATTAATTAAAATCGTCTTGGAATTTCATGGGAAACAGCCGAGACTTCTTGACATTGGAACAGGCGCTGGTTACATGTGTATATTGGCCATTCTGAATGGTGCAAGTCATGCAACAGGTACAGATATAAATAGAGATGCTCTGAAAAATACCTTCGAAAATGTTAACAAATATCATATGGAGAATCGAATTACTATAGAGTACATTGATATTTTCGACGCACTGAACCCTAATGATAAATATGATATCATCTTTTGGAACCATCCATTTGGTCATATCAATAAACCGGTAGAAGAATTAGAAATTTTAGAGCGAGCGTTACTAGATCCATTCTACAAATCGCTCGATACATACTTGAAGAATGCTAATCAATATTTGAATCCAGATGGAGGAAGATTATTTATCGGTTCTTCGAGCACAGCTGGTTACAAACAAGTTTTCGACGAAATTGCAAAGAAATACATGTGGAATATTCACCTTAGAAACGAAACCAGATCAAATACGATTCCTGTGATGCAGATGGGAATGTACGAGCTTATAAGAGCTGATTCGCATCCTACCATACAATATTCGTTTAATTCCACTAAAATGAACTTCCATTTCTACAAGTCTCGTGTTTGTGCTGAATTAATGAGACAATTAACGCTCGTCATCACGACTTGCTTCGCCCTCAACTGCACTTTATCTAAGCATCATCTCCTGTCGCTTGCTGGTTGTATTTTGAAAACTATTGTGAAAAACACATACTTACAAAAATAAACTGTTTATATATTATAGATGTTGATGAGGATGTGTGTGTTCATGTGGTTGTGGATGTAGGTATGGGTGGAAGTGTGGGTGTGTGGTGTGAGTAAGTGGCTCGAATTTTGGATATATAAACTTTTTTCTCAGAAACACACAGGTATCGACACTGACACCGACTACTATACACATACAGCAAGAACTTCACTGCACCCACTTCTGCTTGAAAGGATGTCACTATCGTATCTGTGACAAATCTATAGTCACATCCTTCAATTGAAAAATTATTTTGTTTATCTTGCAAGCTGATGTCATGTTTAGGGTAACATGTGAAACGACGGAGTGAATTTGCTAGCGAAATCGACCCTATTTCAAACCTATAAGATAATCTCCACTAGTTCTATCAAGTTAGAAAGGTAATTAGTCTCACATTGTACCTGCATGATAGTTCTGACCGGAACACTATTTTTCCTATTGCATTGACCGTGTATATTATCAAGGATATATAAGGCACATGAGGTATGGTATATGGAGTAACTTCAGAGTGACATATTACATTACAAAATCAAATGAAGAAACTACTGTTATATATTGATCGATGGAGCAGAAAGTGCATAACAAAACTGCATAAAAATAGATGCCGTAAAGTTATTGTTTGAAGTACTTTTGGCACAGATACCTATCAAACCTATACGTAGATAACATCGGACGACTAGTTTGTGTAACTTTTTCTATCCTATTGAAGTAGATTTCGCTGTCATTTGTTCTAGACAGGCAGTCCCCAATATGTGCTAACAAAATGGAAGAAGAATATGCTTTCAAACGCTTGCTAATTAATTTTCAACAAGACGACATTGATTTTTCTATGCTCAATATATAGGATCCGACAGGGTATTTCGCTTCGCACCCTGTGGCAGAGATGGGATCGGTTCGGTTCGCAACTTTCAAATCGATATCGGTTTCGGTTCGGTTCGGTTCGGTCTTTGACCTCAGCGATTCGCTTCGAAACTTTTCAAACACATCTTGGTTTTTGTTCGGTTCGTTTCTTAGTTAAATTGATTTTCTTTGAGTCAGTGTATTGACATGAAAAACAAGAAACTAGAACGAGAAAAGATTCTCTCTCTCTCTTTGTTTTAGAAAAGTTCAATGATTGTTTTTCAATATTAATACCTAACATATTGATCTACGAATGCAGTTTATATTCGAGGTTCTAAAGTTCTTGGCCGTGAGTACTGGAATGACTACTGTAATCATCATCTAGTAAAGCGATAAAACTGATTTATATAAAGTACAATTGATGATCTTGTATAATGTGAATTTGTAAAATGTGCAGGACTGGAAAGTGTAATGACTGTTATCAAATGGGAACCTGCTATAGCTTGCATATGTGTTTATGTGTTCTGGACACGCTCCCACCGACCAACAAGATATTGGAGACTTAACAGCAATTGAAATACAATGTGGAAAATCAAAGATATCAAGCAAAATTCAAGGCATTCTTCAACGACAATGATTCCAAATATTGACACAAAAAATCGCTGAAGGAATTACGAAATTCCGGCATATAATCCGGATTGAGCAGCTCCACACAGTGAGTTCCACTTATTTTTCTTAAATTCTTTCAATTTCAAAGTATTCAAGGAAATTCGAAGAGGCTGCAATGAACGGGCTAGAAACACTGCCAGACACAACATCACTGGTGAGATTACAGTGACTGGCACTAGAAATCTAATCTGAGTGATTCAAACGTGAATCCTACTTGATTGTCTCGAATTGAATGAACTCTTTAAACTTCGAAGTTTTGCATTGTGTGTGTATCTTACCAGCTTCTAAATAAAGGAGCTTTTTAACTCTATAATGAATATGATTATTCCATTTATTTTTCTAGTAGAAATAATTAAAACTTTCAGAAAATTGAATATCAAGTGTCTTCACGGATCAATATAATACTTATCAAAAGAGAAAAACTAGCAACGCTTTTGCTGAAATAAGAGTGAATGTGTTCTTTTATATTACAATTTCTCATATGAATAACTTATATTTAAAATGATCACTGTCTTCATACAGTAATAATATAATGTACTTGCCAGATATTTAAAAGCCGGATTTTAATCAAAATTTTTAGGAACCAATCCGAACTGTCCATTCAAGAAAAGTAGCATTGGGGTCCACTCGAACTACACAGATGGAAGTCAAGTACCTTTCGGATCCTACGTTATACGTATATTAGAATTTGTCATGCTAATTTTCGACAGATAACACTATTTCATGTTCAATTTAGTAATACAAATTTATCTTATGCAAATTTTATTAGCTCATTTTTAGATAAGATGAATTTCACTTCAAAAACCAGTCTGATTTATTCTTAATGATTCGCTATTAAATTATCAAATGTTAAATTTATCAATACGAATCTTACTGGTATGATGTATTCAATTTTTCAGAGCAATCTTCTATATTACAATGTTGTCTTTCCTAATGGCACTTGGTTTATCAATAGTTTGAATTTAATAAAAAATGGAGATGCTGAAATGAATGTAAGTAAGTTGCATACAATGAGTATATGTGAGAATTTTCAATTATATGAACATCTTTTCTAAAAAGATTTCCTTCGAAACAAGGATATGAGTGTGTTAATGAAAACACTCTTCTACAAAGTCTTAGTTTTTAGTGCTGGATGTCTAATAAATCAATCGCTGATTGGCAATATTCGTCATTGATGTTGTATCATTATGATCAAACACTCATGTCAGATTTTTTGTCATTAAACATGGGCAACTGTTCTTTTATTTTACAATCTTCTTCTGAAGTGTCTTCTGCTATGCAAACAATCGATTTAGATAATTATTCTCTACTTATTGATAGTAGTCAAGCACAATTACGTATATCTGCATTATTTGCTATTGTTGGAAAATGTGAAAAGAGAACAGTTGAGATTTCGAGTTCAGATATTCGTGCTTATTTCAATAGTCCATGCAAGAAATAATCTTTTTTTTTTTTTTGTAAAGAACATCATTTATTAGGAAGTACAATTTATTCTTTTTCTTCTTAGATATAAATTCATCTAATGGCCAATTACAATGGTATCATGAGGAAGAACAGTTTGAGATACCCAAAGGAATACGTCGCTTACATATTGATCTGAAGATTTATGGAAATGATAATCTATGTTTTCGTGAATAATATTGAAATTCGTATTCAAAGAAGCTTAAATAACTAAGTGTTATGTTAAAACTTGAAAAGAACTGCAAAAACATATAATCAAGTTCTTTTGCTTTTGACAATTAAAAATAAAACATAATTTAAAAAAATTTAAATCTTCTGGTAGAGCAGAATTTTATCTATATATTACTTACTCTTACGAAATATGAATAAGATGTGTCAACATTTGAGATAACAAATAATCAACAAATTTCAAACGTCAAAGTTAGCTGATGAGAGTAGGCACCAACACAAAATTTCATCGAAGAGGAAACATTAATAAAACAGAATTTTCAGTGACATGAAAGAAACTATCTGTTGAAATATTATTTCAAATATTGTCTTCCAAATTGTCAAGTAGAACATAAATTCAGCCATATTTCAAGCTTCAATCTAATCACAAGGAGACTATTATCAACGATTATCTATGATTTATTTTTCTTGTCGGTCTAACAAAGTTATTCTTTTTCATTTCTGTTCTGATTTTCTTTATTTTCTCGAACCTAAGTCATTTTGCTGGTTTTTTCACTGAATTTTCGAAAACTTTTTCCTATTGGAATTAACATTGCACTAGCGGTCACATCGAGAATTTCTTTCAGGGGTCTCACGCCTTAAACTGTCAAAATATCAAAAGAGATACTGGAAGTTTTTCGGAATTTTTGACTTACGAAGAAAGCTACGGTCAGAATGCAATTTGTTTATAAAATTTGCATTACTTTCTTTTTCTTGTTAACATGATGAAGAATTTTTTGTTGGAATTTTATGTAGTTGAGATAATGCTTTTTCTTTTATCAAGCGATTAATTTAGTCTAGAGCTTTCTTTCAGTTATTAAATCTTGAAATGGTAGAAATATCATCGACATTTTATTTATTAGAAGAAAAGCTTTCGCGATGATAAAAATAGGATACATCATTTTGTACAGAATATTTTAATCATGTTTACGGATACACTAAAGCTTGTGTATCTGTTACCAAGATTGCCGGTTCTTTGTGTCAATATTATCAGTATGATTCGTTCTGTTTGATATTGGTATTAGATTTCGGCAAAATTTAAAAAATCCTAAGATTCGATCTTATTTGATGAAAGCTGTGATCTTTTCACGATTTTCACTAAATCCTACCAGATCTTGGAATTACTTTAAAAATTTTACGAAATCTCATACCAATTCGAAACGATGTGAATAAAACGGGTTACAATGTACACAAATGTTGAATTCAATTTAAGAGACTTTCATATTAAAAATCTACAATAGCTGTTTCAGATACGTAGAATTTGGTGCATCTCTAACCATATTCTATCGTTATACTAGCTTGATTAGAATGAACAATTTTTGCCAATGTATTGAATAAGTTTTTAATGTTGGTTGAACACGACAATTATTAACCGATATACTTTGAGTGATATCATATGACACAGATTTTGTTTTAAAACTTTCATGCAAAGTAATAAAGACTGTGAGAGAAGATGATGAACTGTTCGAAATAAGTTCACATGTAGCTTGATCAACAGAGAACGTAGAAAGAGAAGAAAGTTCTAACCAATCTCCATTATTGATAAACATCCAAAACTTGTTTGAGATTAGACTAGAATCATGCTTAATATTTTTTTCTTATCATAAAAAAGGAAGGAAGAATCGTTGGAGTTACGCGTGCCGCGATGGGGCAGTATGCAAACATGGAAAATATTAATTAAAGGCTGAAAGAAACAGATATGGAACACTAGTAGTAAAAAATAAAGTAAACGTGCCACCCTAATCTTGAGACAGATAATCGTGCCCTCATTATATGAAAAGATGAATTTGTGAAATAGCTTACAGACTTTATACATAATCATTCCAAAATTAAAATGTCATAATTACTAGAACTTGCAGCTTGCTTTTACCTTCAGTATAGCTGACTGAAGTTGTCAAAGATTTGCTTGATAATGATAATGGTGGGTGTGGGTATGGTTGTGGTATGAGTCATCGCTTAAATGATACCCACACCATCACTCACACTCCACACCTACACCCAACAAACGAAGGTCGTATACAAACTCTGTATACAAAAACCATAAACAACCGTTCTTTTTCTCTGTGCACTACCAAATTTCTTCCTATATAACACGAGGATTGGTTTATAATAATGGACCACGTATTCTGTCTTATTTCTCTGTATACGATTCTTTACGAGTGTGACTGTTCTACCTGCGGATATTGTCGAATGAATTACTCTTCTTTCTACAAATAAAATTTAACTCAACTTTCGACTAGATCAAATATGACCTTGAAATCTCAACAAGGAGACATTAACATCGCATCATTCCTTTAGGAACAGAAATATATATTTCAATTATCAGATGCTCATGGTGAACAGCTTTATTGCCACATTTATTGAAACAAATAATCATAGCATTAAGCCATCATTTTGTTACCTGTATCTACGCCGTCGTCATACTATTTTGTCAAAATGAAAATGAGTGTCAATGCCATGCCATTCTCTTTCAACCTTTAATTTAACTCAATATGCAGCTAAATGTCCTGTTCTCTTGCCACCATTCATCATCTATATGTGAATATTATGTCTTTTGGCACTAACCATGGTTACTTGTTGATGGAAAAAATTAACGAACTCTGAACACTTGTATTTCTGACTGTGTATGAAAATGCTTTGAAATAAGATGAAAGAGAAAGAAAATGAGTTCTGTATACTTGTGTAAAAAAGTTGACTGTGAATTGAAAGCAATTAAACTACCGTTTGAAGAACAATGAAGTTTCACGGGTAGCGAAGAAGGTAAGAAGGACGATTGAAGCTACAATTGTTGACTATTTAGTATTACTCATTTCAAAATGAAAAAAAGAAGCCATTTTTTAAATGACTTTTAAGAAGTGCACGATAAACAGGATCGGTTCACTGCGTTAGAAAGTTCAGAGATGGCTCTATTCAACCGTATATATTGTCCATTTTTACTGGTTTTTCTTAAGAGATATTGCATTTAAGCCACGACCAGTTGAAGCAGAAAGTTGCTCAATAGATGTCATCGATTTGACTGATACCTTTACAATAGGTGGCCTTCATAGAGCTAAGAAGAAATCGAAAATTTCAGCTCAAACGGGTGAGTCACTTTGGACATATAGATGACACAAGTATAGGGAGTACGCCTCATTTTGAGTTTTTCGTAGAGCATTAGTTTTCAATAAATCTTCATTTTCTCAAGAACCATAAGAGTTACAATGGAGATTTTTTTACCATAGATATTATCGAGAAGGGGTTATCTTTTCATGATATCATGACTATCTTATTTTGCTGCATAGTATCTGCTTGGTATTACATACTATATTTGAAAAGCGTGTCCCCAGAGAAAGACAAGTTGGTTGAATCAGGACCATAGAATAAACTGAGAATAGTCTCACCAAAAAGAGCGCATTGAAATGGATCGGATGGTGTTTTCAAAACTTCGTGACATTGAATTTTAGTATAAAAAATTTTGGCAACAATATTTTGCCATTTTATCAACAAAAGTTGTGCTTTTTAACAAAGAGTTGTATACACTATTTTGAACTTCTTGTTACTAAATCTTAGTGCTTTGGGAAGTAATTATATATGGTGATAGTCCACGAAATTCTCTATAACTTTATATGAAACATACGGAATTATACTCGTTCGATAAGAAAAATTTAAAACACATTGAAGACAGCCTTAGCATCAAACTTATCGAATTCTATTTTGTATTCATTTTCTGTTGCTTCTTTAAAATTTGTGTAGAAGACAATGGATGCAAATGAATATTTAGCAGGGATCATATTATTAGTGTATCTAGGGATGGTTAGAGGGTGTGCCGCTTGTCTACCGATAAGAAGGAAAATTTAAGAATTATCTAGAAATTTTTATCGTTTTTCTACAATATTATATAGCTCTAGAAATTTAGCTGACGAGAAGTAAATATGCCTTTCAACTCTAATAGAATTTTACTCGACAAAAATATTCTTGTTCAAAATAAAAAGGTGTTTATATGAATCGTAGGCAGCAATTGCTTACATTTATTATGTGTTTAGGGTAATACCCAATACAAAAAGTGTGGAGAATGTATCGATAGCAGAGACCAAACCGAACCGAATCCTACTGGTTCGAGTTTGGTTCTTTTCATCTTTCTTTTTTTTTAAAATAGTTGAGATTCGGTTCATGTTTGTTCTTGTAATATCAGTTCGAACTCTCTTAGGACCGAGTGTATTTCAAAAAATTCCGATGTCGAGTACAAATGGGTGTACGGTGTGGGGTGTAAGTGTATGGTTTGAGTTGAGCGAAGATAAGACTCACAATGTTTTTTTTGCGTACATGACTCTTGAGATTACACGAAAAAGAAATTGGTGTCGGATCGAACCTTTTTTAGGTCCAAACTGTTAATATCATCTTCTGACCGTCATAAAGTTATAGACGAGCAATGATTCGATATTGCTCCCTTTTGTTTTCTATGCGAATGACTGTCTTTCTTTTATATTTCCATGCCATCCAACCAATGAGCACTATGAGCGCTATATGTATCTATTATCGGCATATTTAATTAACTGATTATCCTTCTAACACCCTGACTACCTATCTAACTAGATATCTGTTTAACAAACTACCTGTCTATCTCTCTACGTAGCTTACTACTTAACTATTTAGCTAACTACCCAACTGTCTACTTAACTAGCTACCTATCTATATAACCAACAAACTATCTATATATCTATCTACTTACCTAAAGAGTGATTTAAAAGTCTTGGTCGTTCTTAGGAAAACTACTTGTTCTGGCGTACTAAAAATCCAAAAACACTAAAAATTCGAAGTGTAATTCTTTGTAACGAGACGAATATTATCTTAAGTTTCCAGATCTCTAGCTCTTATTATATGGAAGATACAGGCTCGTATGATAGAGATGATTTCTTCATGTTCTAAAGTCCAAATAGCGTAAAGTAACGTAAAGAGAACGAAGGAAAAGGTGGAAATAAAAGCATGATAAT